CTGGTCCACGTGTTTGGAGGAGGAAAACACTTCCCAATCCCTGGAACAGTCCTTGGAAACACGTAAATTCCCACAGCAGACAGTCGCCTCTCCCCCTGTCTGCGCCTGGAGCAGGGACGCCCCGGGCCGCGCGCACACACCTGCCTGCCTATATCTCAATCACCGGCCATGCGCGCTCCCTTGTAAACTCCGCATCTAATACATATAAACCGCCCACATACGTTTGTATACCCCACACACACATTCAGACCCAACATTATGTGGCCGTTGCTACAAGGTACACTGTCAGTGTGCCCCAGGGCAGCTATGGCTACAGTAGTAGTTTATCACCACAGTGTATGGGGTGAAAGAATGACATGTAAAGCGTCTTTGAGTGTCCAAAAAGCGCTTTATAAAACTGATGCATTATTACCAAAAAACCACTGATGACCATGAAAGCTTTGATGTGTGTAGAAGCGACAGGGCAGGAACAAACAGGACGCAATGTAGAGAACATGACATTTACATTTATTGGTCACATGCAAAAGTACAACAGGCAGAGGAAAAAAAAACATTCAGAAAGCAAAATGCACAGAAGACTGGTTTGAGAGAGCGCTGGGTGGAGCAGGACAGGTCACAGCAGCAGAGGTGGAGTAGCCCCTGGTGGAGCAGGACGGGTCACAGCAGCAGAGGTGGAGTAGCCTCTGGGTGGAGCAGGACGGGTCACAGCAGCAGAGGTGGAGTAGCCTCTGGGTGGAGCAGGACAGGTCACAGCAGCAGAGGTGGAGTAGCCTCTGGGTGGAGCAGGACGGGTCACAGCAGCAGAGGTGGTGTAGGCTCTGGGTGGAGCAGGACGGGTCACAGCAGCAGAGGTGGAGTAGCCTCTGGGTGGAGCAGGACAGGTCACAGCAGCAGAGATGGTGTAGCCTCTGGGTGGAGCAGGACAGGTCACAGCAGCAGAGATGGTGTAGTCTCTGGGTGGAGCAGGACAGGTCACAACAGCAGAGATGGTGTAGCCTCTGGGTGGAGCAGGACAGGTCACGTCAGCAGAGATGGTGTAGCCTCTGGGTGGAGCAGGACAGGTCACTTCAGCAGAGGTGGTGTAGTCTCTGGGTGGAGCAGGACAGGTCACTTCAGCAGAGGTGGTGTAGCCTCTGGGTGGAGCAGGACAGGTCACAGCAGCAGAGATGGTGTAGCTTCTGGGTGGAGCAGGACAGGTCACTTCAGCAGAGGTGGTGTAGTCTCTGGGTGGAGCAGGACAGGTCACTTCAGCAGAGGTGGTATAGTCTCTGGGTGGAGCAGTACAGGTCACTTCAGCAGAGGTGGTGTAGCCTCTGGGTGGAGCAGGACAGGTCACAGCAGCAGAGGTGGAGTAGCCTCTGGGTGGAGCAGGACAGGTCACTTCAGCAGAGATGGTGTAGCCTCTGGGTGGAGCAGGACAGGTCACTTCAGCAGAGGTGGTGTAGCCTCTGGGTGGAGCAGGACAGGTCACTTCAGCAGAGGTGGTGTAGCCTCTGGGTGGAGCAGGACAGGTCACAGCAGCAGAGGTGGAGTAGCCTCTGGGTGGAGCAGGACAGGTCACTTCAGCAGAGATGGTGTAGCCTCTGGGTGGAGCAGGACAGGTCACTTCAGCAGAGGTGGTGTAGCCTCTGGGTGGAGCAGGACAGGTCACGTCAGCAGAGATGGTGTAGCCTCTGGGTGGAGCAGGACAGGTCACAGCAGCAGAGATGGTGTAGCTTCTGGGTGGAGCAGGACAGGTCACTTCAGCAGAGGTGGTGTAGTCTCTGGGTGGAGCAGGACAGGTCACTTAAGCAGAGGTGGTATAGTCTCTGGGTGGAGCAGGACAGGTCACTTCAGCAGAGGTGGTGTAGCCTCTGGGTGGAGCAGGACAGGTCACAGCAGCAGAGGTGGAGTAGCCTCTGGGTGGAGCAGGACAGGTCACTTCAGCAGAGGTGGTGTAGCCTCTGGGTGGAGCAGGACAGGTCACAGCAGCAGAGGTGGAGTAGCCTCTGGGTGGAGCAGGACAGGTCACTTCAGCAGAGATGGTGTAGCCTCTGGGTGGAGCAGGACAGGTCACTTCAGCAGAGGTGGTGTAAGCCTCTGGGTGGAGCAGGACAGGTCACCGCAGCAGAGGTGGTGTAGCCTCTGGGTGGAGCAGGACAGGTCACCGCAGCAGAGGTGGAGTAGCCTCTGGGTGGAGCAGGACAGGTCACTTCAGCAGAGGTGGTGTAGCCTCTGGGTGGAGCAGGACAGGTCACTTCAGCAGAGGTGGTGTAGCCTCTGGGTGGAGCAGGACAGGTCACCGCAGCAGAGGTGGTGGCTTGACGGCGTGGTCAGAGGAGACGTCAGGGCGTCTTTACTGAAGCAGAGCCGCGGGTGTCTCCAGATCTGAGAGTCTGGAGGAGCAAGAAACATGTAACACACGAGAGATGGACTCAAACGATTGAACTGCAGTAAAACCACAGACTCTGATCTCCGTCGAGCAGGAAGAGCGTCCCCACGAGTCGTTCAAACTCAGTCCCCACTTTACCGACCCTTGATCCTGCTACGACAGATGGTACAGCCACGCATCCTGGA